CTTATTAAAATTTTAAATCGGCTTGGATGTGTTCATCCCCAGATACACATGACAGATTTGTATGCACAAATGCTACTAATAACAGAGAAAGAAGTGTTTGGGCTGATCTTTCCCCCTCTTGCTTTACTGTTGCTTCTGTCGATAATTTCGATATGCTGCAAAGTTACTCTGCAATTCATAGTGGAAATCAGCATCAACAAAGTTATTATGGCACAATAGTTCAGTTAATCCAGCCTACACCTTATCCTTTAGAGGTCAATATCACAGCATCTCTTTCACCAAATAGCAATTTAAGTGAAGCTTTATCACAGTGAAACAATTGCCGTCGTCCTATTACTCAATCACCTTCATCTTCTCCACACAAAATGGGCAAGGATGGTCCAAAAAGATCTAGAACAGTCACAATATCACAGCTTCAAAGTAGACCAACTCTTCCAATTCGAGTATCAGATAATCCCTATCAACACCTTACTATGAGTGATTTTAATTTATCAACTTTAAAAGCTGATTCACTCCACTACATAAAATGTAATTTATTCAACTACATGCTTTTAAAGCACTGTTTTAAGGACAAAAATAGTTGCTTAAGTGAAATGCACAAATTTTTTGATCGATATTCTTCATCACAAGCTAGAGTTCACTATCTGGAAATGATTAATGAAAATCCAGATAGTGAAGAAACAATGTTGCATGTAGCTGAGGAACTAATAGATTTATTCAAAAATGGCTCTCAGAAAGAATGGGTCGTTCTTGTAGGTGATGGTAAGACATATACACACTTAACAAACATAAAACGACATTATGGTGAATCTTTAAAAAAATTGCTAATTTTTCCAGGGGATTGGCACACCTTGAAAACATTTCAAAATGTGCTAATGAAAATTTATTTTTCAGCAGGGCTTGAAGAAATTGCTAAAGTGTCTGGATACAATGGTGCTACTCTGCATACACTACAAACATGTGGCAATTTCATCAAGTGCACACATTTTTACTAAAGATATGGGAAGCTATGTTTGGAGTTCTTGTAGAAGCATTCTTTCAGAATTCAAACGAACTAGTGGAATTAGAAAAAATTTTAGAGTTAGTAAAGACTGCAGTTGGCAATAATGGTAGTGCTCATCAATTGCTAGATGTGAGGTTGTCAAATATAGAAATGGCAAATGATTTGTATACTTTTTTACAGCAGCAAGCAGAAAACAATTCTACATGGAAGTTTTGGGTTGATTGTGTTTTTAAGAACTGTTTTGCTTATGTAACACTATTTCTTTCTATCAGAGGTAGCAATTGGTCCCTTCGTAATGCCAGCTTAAAGGAAATGACACCATTGTTTGCTGCTTTTGATCATGAGGTTTATGAAAGAATCATTCCCAACCATTTAGTTGATCTTATTTATCCTTCAAAATTTTGTCACATCTTTCTTCTGGTGGTTTTACTGTTCATATTACAGGTGAACATTGGAGAGCTGTTGCACTTGATGAGGTGCATGAAATGTGCATAAACAAGGACCTCAAAAGTGCTGTCACATAACCAACGGAAGCCTACTTACAGAAGACGTCTCTTTTCATGAATTCTAGAGTTAAACTGAGTAAAAACCTTTTCAACAAGTTATTTCCAGAACAAAACTCCATTGAAGGAGTTCCAGAAATTATCGATAATTCCAGCAATTCAGTCAAGCTAGAGAAGGATATCATGAAAATGATTGAGATAATTCAGGAGAATAATCTTCTTCCAGCCAACTTAGTGGAAGACTGTGGACTCCTGAAAACATTTAATGGTCAGGCAGCAACATTAGAACAACAGTATGATTTGTTACATTTCAGAAGAATTGGAGAAGAGGCAAACACATCATACATGAATCACCAAATATTAAGGCAAACTTTTGCCGCAACCATGACAATCAGAAGAAAGAAATTATTAACGACGTCATCAACAAAATGGATCAAAAAAAGGAAAACAGAAAAGGGAAAGTGAAAAAATGATCAAGTGTTTACAGAGACGACTAGCATGGTGTAATTACAGTGGTAACAAATTTGATTTGGGAATAAGCGGTTTTCAATTTACCAAAGAGCATTATCTGATGAAAATGGTGTCCCTCACAAGGCTCCCAAAAGTCATTGGACAGATAAGCTTCAAGAGAGATATATGAATAGCCAACACAATGTTTTTACAAATGACATAGTAACCACATGGCTGCGCCAGAATATAACGTTTTAGATGCTATGTTCATTATCAATACTAAGCCTTTGAGAAGTACAAAAACTGTACTTGACTATCTCAATCTTTTATTTAGCAGATTTATTAAGGAGCACTTTAGTTCTGGAGCTGTTTTTGATACCCCTGTATCAGATAATTGCAGTTTCAATCCTTAAATGGTAGAACAGTTAAGAAGGGATTCATCTAAAAATCCACCAGAGCATATTCACTGCTCTGTAGACCTAGATAGTATGCTTCCTCTAATGAAATGGCAAGACTTAATTGGCTGCAGAATATGTAAATATTCCTTAGTAAGTGCTCTTGGTCAGTGTGCACTTAGAAATGGTAGACACTTAGTTAAAGAGGGACAAACTCTAGTAGTAGCTGGATGTTTTCAAGATGGAATTGCCTGGAAAGTACCATGTAGCATTGCTGGTATTCCTCAACCAGAACCTCTGTACAACAGCAATGCCAAGGAAGCAGATCAAAGGATATGGAGGCATGTTGCCAATTGCACTGTAGCAAATGTAATAGTCTACTCTCCTGACACAGATGTTTATGCTATAGGTATAGGACTAACAATCATCTATAATCTTAAGCAAGTCATTGTCCAACTAAACCCTTCAAGTAGTAGATTGAAGCATTATGTTAATATCAATAACCTAATACAAGCATTAAATGATGATCGAGATCTTTCAGCTGTAACAGAGCGTAGCAAGGTAATGTTGTCATTATTTGTGTGTACTGGATCAGATTTCACTTTGTATTTCAGAAATTTTGGAAAGGCTACCTTTCTTAAGACATTTTATCAGAATGCTACATTCATAACGGGTTCTGAGATGCCGGGTTCCATGGCTAATTATGATATTCTGACAAGAGAGGAGGGTTTTTTGGCATTTATTAGATTAGTTGGAACAGCATACTTCAAAAAGCATCAAACTTCATTATCCTCGAAATATAATGTGGGGACTCCTATGTAACTGTATAATTCACTACCTGCATCCCTTTCAAATAATGAAAGTCATAAGGAATGGCTAAAAAAGATAAGCGAAATTGTTAGTGAAAGAACACTATCAGAAGATGAGAGAGGACCATCATTTACTTTATTGTGGAGACATTGGATGAGATCGACATGCATATGCCTTTTATGGGCAAAATCAATGTTATCTAATATTGAAACTAGCTTACCAAATCCTGAAAATAGTGGTTGGCTACTTAGTACAGTATTGATTGGGAAGGCCCTGACGAAATGATGAAAGTGGAAAGTAACATGAGGTTTTTATTGCAAGGCTGTACTTGTAATTCAATTTGATGTGGGTGTAAGAAAGCAGGAAGTATTTGTGGACCAGGTTGTACATGTAGCAATTGCAATAATTGGGAAGAAGTAAATGAACCTGTTCATATGACACCACAAGTAGTTCCAGTGACAATGAAGACACAGAAGATGAAGCTGTAGAAACAGAAGTAATAACTGATGAATTTTTTCAGCAATTATGACATCTTATTATATAGGCGGTAGCCTATATGTAAGATTGAGGTTGGTTTTTCAAGATGGCGGCCAAATTTACTATTTTCAAACACTTATAACTCTTTTATCTTACATTGTACAGCCTTATAAAATGGCCTAGATAGGCTCTCCATCAATGACCGATTCTCCTAGTACCTTTAAAGTGGCCTGTACTGTAGCGAGAGCATTTCTAGAGAACAGGCCCAAATTCAAATTTCTGCAAAATTTTTCAGACTTTTTCTTCTTTCATCTTCTTCTATTAACACAGAAATCTTTTAAACGAGAGAACCGCTCGAGTTGGCATTTACATCATTCCTTTGTGCTTGGGTCAAGGACTGGACAAGTGGTTTCAAAAAGAAGCAAGGAGAGAACAAAATGGAAGACAAAATCCAGCTGCAGACACTGCGTGGGTTTGTGGTTTGACGCCATTTTAATTTATGCGCACGTAATCACCATGAATATAATTAACCTAACAACACAATCACAACAAAATGTAATTTATAAATTTAAGAAAAAG